GGACAAATAAATGCAGCAATAGGCAAAAAGGCATGTGATCCAGGCCAGTTCTGCTACATCCATTTATCCACATTCATTATTCAAGAATACAAAACCACTCAGTCAAATCTGAGCTCATATAAAGATTCTCTCGCTCACCCACATAAAAGATTTATCCCCCCTTTCTTGAGAACAATGCTTGGAGGATGATACTCAATATGTATGCATTGATTGCCCTTAAATTCTTAAGCAGTGAGACTGAAGAACAAACAGGTAAAGAAAAAACGTTATAGAAATTCAGGAATGTGAAGATGTGTCTGCTCTACAGCCTACCAACTAGAGGACTAAACTGTAGATCAGAGACACAAAAAGCTACACTATGTGTTTCACCAATCAGCTTTTATACAGATGTAACCTATAGCAACCACAGTTTATAACCAACTTTGACATAAATGCTTTGTTTAACCCCCCGGTGTAGGACTATTTGTACAACCGAATGAGAAAGCTGAAAGAGGACACTCTTGTTATGCTGCACAAACTGTTAGTACAATCTTCTCTTTTAAAATGACACCCAGATACTTGATCAAGATGATTGATTGGTACAGGTGAATGTGCTGACTCTGGATTTTTCTTATCAAGTGTCTGAGATGCTGCTCTGCTGGTCAGATGTGGAAAATTTTGTGTTCTGAGTCTTTGCATCTGTTTCTATCTGATGAAAGATTAGCACAGGCTTCAACCCAAAGCAGTGTAATTGTGACCAAAGCCACAGTCAAAGGGTCACTGCCATCCAAAGTCCTGTCCTGCCATCTGGTAGAAGCGCTGGTTATGTGGTTTGTAGAAATCCCTCAGTCTCTGCATCACCTCCGGGTCAATGGAGGCATGCATCCTGCCTTTGGTTTTCCCCAGGCAGTGAGGTTTACTGCTGCCCTCCGGCTTCTTCAGGCAAGGGAATCCTTTCGTTTTGTTGAAGTAGAAGTGCTTGTCTGTGACGATCCTCTGGAGGCCCAGGAAGTCCTGGACTTTGCCCAGTTCTCCGGCCGGGTCGGAGATGAGCCTCTCTCCACTGACCAGATGGATCTGAGTCCTGGGGAACCAAGCCAGCCAGCGCTCCAGGTGCTGGGCATACAGGCCAATCCACAGTGGGCTCCACAGGGAGTCGATCTGACCTAGAGACAACAGAGATTTGCCAAGAGTCTTTATTCAAAGTCACCATATTGTCACCATCATCTCCAGTCTTCACCTTCATTTAAGCTGTTATCCTTTGGCCATTGGCCTGGTCCAGGTTTCACAGTCTGAAATATGTTTGTTTTAATATGAGTTAATATTCTGAATATTGTAACTCCAGTTATTATTCTTTGTCTTTCTTTGAATTATTGGACAATCATGCTCACCTGTTTTGAATCTGCTTGGAAATGAGCAGTTCCTGTTTGCAGTGTAGCCATGGATGTACAGACAACAACCACCGGTGTTGGGAGAGGGACTTTCAAAATGTAATAGCATACAGATTACTAGTTACCCTTTTAAAAATGTAATACCTAACATAACTATATTAATTACTTCATCACATAATGCAACTTATTACTTTTAATTACTTTTTGATAGTTTATTTCTAAAACATGTTTTAAACTGGGCAATAAAGCTGAAAAGTCCTAACAAAAATTTAAACCTCACAACCACACTTATTACTGTCAAACGTTTGTTAGACATGTAACCTACTGGATGAGCACCAACCAAACCTACTTCTGATCACTTGTCTCGTGCTGTATGGTTCCCCGGCTGCTGGCAGCCGGCAAGGCCGAGACAAGTGATACAGAGACAGCTCCTTGTAAGCTGTCCTACCCCTGATGATGTGACTTAAATTAGTCTCAGAGGTCTGACCTGCGTTGTCCAAAAGAAATATCCCAAAACAAGGCATTCAGCATCACGAAGAGGTGGAGCAACAGAATGAATGGTATTATAAGCTTTTTTACTCAAAAGAATATATTCAGATCTAACACCTTTGTAAAAACAAATATTTTGATTAGTAGCTGTAAATTAATTACTTTTTTTCAGTAACTGATTACAGTTACATTTATTTTGTAAATGGAAATTAAGTTGTGATGGACAAGATATAGCTGATGAAAGTGTAGGTCACACTGAATGTAAAAATGTGTGCGTCGTGCCTGTGTGTTTAGTTATGACACGTGCTACCTTAATTGTCTGCATGAGCCGCTGCTGCAGCTGCTGTCCGTGCTGTAACTAACTTCCTTTCGTCTGAACCTGTCTCTTTTATCTCACACGGTATCTTTATTTCATGTCTCTCCCTCTGGGCTACGCTTCAGCTTTAAGTTAATGATCAAATTTCATATGACTTCAGAATGCTCTCTCTCTAAAGTTTTTACAGAGTAGATCCCACACCTTATGAGTCATGTCTGAGTCTGAACAAAGTATCATTGATGATGAATAATATATTAACTGTGGCAGTAAGAATAATTCAGAACAGGATGGTTTTAGCTTGCTATTTACATTTATTTTAGCATGTATCAGAGCTCCAACAACACAAATAAAGCTGGCATTGTTTGCAGTCACTTCCCATGCATCTTTATTCTCAAAACTGTCAATAAACTACACTCATCATTTCTCTGTCTCATCTACCAGCGGCAGAATTTCTATCCTGGTCCAGTTTGTTTTCTTTTCACACATATGTGTCATTAAGAATTATATATATGCAGTATAAAGTGTCTAAAATTAGGTATGTTTTTGTAGAAACACATATCACTAACAGTGACATTAGCATGTCGCATGTCTCTTTAAAACATGGGGTAGCTAAAGGGTAAAGCATCTGGAGAATCTGAATCATACAGCACCTGTGCTGCGGTTTTTGAAGGCTAGGTTCTCAAATGGAGGGATGTCTGGGGTCTTGGAGATGATCTGTGTGTAGTCAGATATAGCTCGGGTCACCGGGTCACGGACGACCACAATCAGCTTCACATCCTGTGACATAGCATGAACCCGTGCTGGCGTTTCTACGGTAACAAAGTAGCGAGGTGTCTTCTCCATAACAATCTGGCCATCCAGGGCTTTGGGCATCATGCTTCTGGAAGTACAGAAAAAAAGTGTGTTTATTTATAGAAAAAAAAATACAGGCAAAATATTGTCTTTGGACTGAAGGAGGAAGTCTGAGCACCCGGAGGAATCCCACACAGACATATGGCAAACATGCCCCAGTTGGCTGTGAGATTCAAACTCAGAACCGTCTTTCTGCGAGGCAACAGTACTAACCACTGCTCCAATATGCCACCCCCAAGTGTGTCACTGCTGTTGATTACATCTGGGCCTGTGTTTATCAGCGTCTGGAGGATGATCTGAGCTTCACTCAGTCACTTGTCTTTGAACATCAGGTTGACCCATCACTAAACTGTATGACTATAAAATGAACAACTTATCATTGTGTAACTGATCAAAACACACAACTCAAAAACCTGTGTGAGCACCAGATGTGCATCGGTGCGTGATCCTAGTACTGTGAGGCAGACCAATAGGCTGATAGGTCAAGCTACTTCTAAATTGTGTCAGAGGTCCATACAACCTTTAATGTGATTAAGCCAGTTTAAATGGATGGTCCATGATACTTGCACTTCTCCTGCAGTCTCTGTTTTGAAAGCAGTGTACATCCTGACACACAGTAACTTTATTATTTATCTTGTTTGACACAGCACATGAGCCGACATACATGACCATTCTAATTAGTTAGCTAAATAATTATACCATAGGCTACTGTATTATCAGGATAAATAACCTTTATTTGGCCAAGTATGTTACACACAAGGAAATTATTTCCAGTTAAGAACTGATGGCAGCCATCTGTGGCACCAACTCACACCGATGGCTCTAACCATCAAGGGGCAACTTGGGGGTTCAGTGTCTTGCCCAAAGACACTTCAACACATGGACTGCAGGCACCGAGATTCAAACCTCCGACCTTCTGGTTGGGAGATGACTGCTCTACCCACTGAACCACAGTTATTTTATGTGTGTGAGTCATAATGCTCAAACAGAAGTGATTCAGTGTTTCCTAAAGGCTCATTTCAGCTGCAGTTGACAACAGGTTTGTGCAAAACCAAACCAATTGTTAAACTTAAAAGTATAAAGTATTACTCTTATTATTTAAACTCCAGTGTGCATGGGACAACTATACTATTATGTATAGAAAGGTATATTTAGTTTTTAGTGTGTCATAGTGTGTACTAAGGTTAATGTAGGCAACTATAAACTGATGTCAAAATGAAAACATGCGGTTTTATTTTATACAAATTTCTCCCTAATTCAGCATAAAATATATTTTTGACTAGTATGGAAGATGATAACACAGTATAGAAAAAACAATGTTAAAGGAATAGTTCAACATTTTGGGAAATACAATACACTTCTTATTGAGCATTACATGAGCAGATCAACAACAATGAAGCGAGGTTACCCTGTGTAATGCCACATCACTTCACACACACACCCTCTCATACAAACCTAATAAGTCACTTTGACACGTATCGTCTTCTGATGGACTGACCAGTGACACTGTGTATACAGTAGCTCTCCAGTGATCCAGACACATGGGCAGGTGACAGCTGTGCTACATAAACGCTGGAGCCCTTTCATGAATGCATCTCTCACTCTGCTCACCTCCACCTCCACACCAGAAGACCAGCTGCTCACCTCCACCTCCACACCAGAAGACCAGCAGATGGGACTCATTTAGCGATAAATGACTCCAGAGGCCCCACGAGACCTGCTGGAGGACTTAGGGACATCTGCCGACACACCTGCCACACACCTGACTGACTTGAACACAAACCGCCTCAGTGGTATGGTCATACACAGCTCTGAATCAGCATCTCTGCTTGTTTAAATGGAGCTTAAAGGACTATACCAATGTTTTATCTCTTTAATTTTTGCTAAATGTGTCAAAGCTAGTCACAAATGTTGTCTGTTGTGTGGCACTGGGCAGATAGGGTTGTGGCTTTATTGAAACAGTTGTTTTGGCTAGAAACAAGGCTGACAAGAGTGAAACAAAACACTAAGATAGCGAGCTGCAAAACCAAAACAACCAGCTGAAAAACATTAAAACGCTTGGCAGGGCTATTAAGTTACTGCTGTCATCTTACCAAAGGTTTCATAGTGCAAAAAAATGTATTTATTTTTTTGCTTTTTGAATTTCTTGTCCCTTTTTCATAATGAAAAAAAAAACACATGAGCAAATACTGAGATTGCCTTGTTTTTATGTAGTCCCATATTTAAGGGATGTATCACAGAACAGAGACTCTGTAGAAAATGTCCCCAAAGAGTTATAAGAATGATGAACAGAGACTGGGTGGGACACAAAACTGATACAGTAAGGACAGGATGCCCCGACTGTCCTCTGGTATTGGCTAAAGTTTCTGATGCACCTGCAACCCAACCTCCTGTCAATACTTCCACCCTACTTATATTAAGCTGTCAAACACACACACACACTCACAAAGAAAGCGATTTCATTTGACCTGATTAGCGCACCACTTAGCTTGAAGACTTCCCTCTTAACTCCAATACCGGGAGCTAGAGGAGCCACACAGTCTGTTCTATACAAGCTGCAAGACACCAACGTACACGCATTATGTACTCATTAGTCAAACATTTGATGTCATGCCTTTTTCACATTATATAACACATTTTTAAAAAGATGCAAAATGATTTTTTAATTACATGCTCACACACCACAGTAACACTACATAGACATTTTTATCAGACCCTTTAAAAATGTGTGTCCTCATCCAACTGTGCAGCTGTCTCAGAGCATTGTCTTAAATGAAAGGGGTGGGTGACTGATGAAGGAACGTTGGGAGTGAATACAAATGCGTCTCCATTAGCGGTCCGTGAATAGCCTCGGAGCCAAGAGCCCCATACCATTACCTAAGCACAAAGAGCTAATTACTGCCCCTAAGAGCACTATGGGAAAAACATGCATTATAAATATGCTTCTGCTATGAGATTAGAACAGATGCAGTAATTGACAGACAAAATAGCTGTTAGTTTTTCTACTAACCAAATATGCCCTTATCCTAGTTTGTTATCTCAGGCCAACATTTATAACTTCACTTTAGCTTCATCCCTGAATCAATGCAGCTTGCAGTTTTAATTCTGCATCTTTTTTCTCAGATTCTGAATTCATGTCACTGGTTGAGTTCAACCTCAGCGAGTCAAAGGATAGTAGCAGCAGTGTAATATTTTGGTGTTCATTCTTGTTACTGTTGAACACAGCAACCTTTATTTGTATTTTGTCATGATCTGGGTAAATATAGATTTACATTTTTATCCACATACCTACACACATACATATTGTGTGACATGAGAAATTGTTTTGTCAGTGTATGTATATTTTTGTTTAGACAAACTTGCAGTAGTTAACATTCTGTTACTCCTGGTAGCCTATTCATGGTTGGATTTTATTTTTTATTAAATAAAAATATAAATATGTCTAACAAGTGAAGGGACATTTCCTTTGTGTGAATGAGTTTAGTCAGTTCATGTATGCAGATTTTATGTGTACACAGAAGTAACTTCCATTGGATGATAGGTGATTTTAAAATGTCATACATAGAAGCTCTTATATTAACTGTTCCAAAAAACAAGCCATGATTTACAATCTCCTTTGTTAATGCTTGGTAATGTTGAGGCAACTAAAACTAATCTAAGTATATAGGGTCAGGAAAAGATTAAGGTCATAGCTAAAAAACAACAGTTCAGCACTTGATATTAGGAAAACATGAACTGCAATTTCCTGAAATTAACAGGACTTGCTTTGTTAACCCAACTGTGCAGCATAATTGCCTTCCAAATATGTTTTATAATGGTAAGCAAATGTCAAGCTAATTCCACTTTTGGTATTTGAGAAGACATTCAATTACTTTCACAGGCACATTTCAAGAAATCTGAAATGTACAACAGACCAGTGTTGTCAGCATCAGTGAGGACAGGTATAAAGTTCCTGGCCACCTCTACCACATAAGGTTTAAGTAATTATTAGACATGTTCACCAGTAGGATGCCAGTGAGGGATCTTCTCTTTGTTGCTGCACCAGTGACTCCTACTGGTTGGTCTTGGTGCCACGACAGGGGAGGAAAATGAGGAAAGAAGGGGCAAGACTACCTCCAGTGCCTTGATCACTGGCAGGTGAATAGAAGCAGCTGGCAACACCATGTGTGACTGAGGAAGTCCCTCAAAATTAATAAATAAAATGGCTGAATTAATTGGCAGTTTAAACCCGTTTTAGCAACAACTTTACACTGCTCATTTACTACTGACTGTGAGATCACATATCCACTATGATGATTACAAGGATAAATCCACCCACTCATAATAAGCCTCTGTTTGCCTTTGAGGAACCTCTCTTTTGTCATCCATTTCCCAATATTTCAGCAGGCCTCCCTGGTGAATTCCTTCAAACCAGACAAGGCCGCTGGCTATTGATCCTATGGGGCTTAGGCTAAACACACGTAGGCAGGTGTGGATGCTGTACAACTGGGGACAGCAAGGAATGTGCA